CTATCTATGTTTTTGTCTTTGTTTTGTCATCTTTGCATAGGGGTCATGCTAATCTTCTCTGTATTATTCCAATTTTAGTATATGTGCTACTAAAGCAAGCACCAGCTGCAGAGTTTTGAAAAGAACTTACAATTTTAAAATATATATATTTAGGGAGTATAAGTGCAGGTTTCTTACATGCATTTATTTCACTGTGGTGAAATCTGAGTTTAGCATACTCATCACCCAAATAGTGAACAGTGTACCCAGTAGGTCACTTTTCAACCTTCACCCCGCTCCTACCCTCCTACGTTTTGGAGTCTCCAGTGTCTGTTACTCCACTCTGCATTCCATGTGTACCCATTGTTAGCTCCCACTTATAAGTGAGAACATGCAGAATTTGTCTTTCTGCTTCTGAGTTATTTCACTGAGGATAATGGCCTCCAGTTTCATTCGTGTTTCTGCAAAAGATATGATTTCATTTTCTACGGCTGAGTAGCATTCCATTATAAATAGAATAAATATATATATTTATATTTAATAATAAATATGGTTTCTTTTCCTTTGGGAATATACCAGTAGTGGGATTGCTGGATCAAATGGTAGTTTTATTTTTAGTTGTTTGAGAATCCTCTATACTCTTTTCCATAAAGGTTGTACTAATTTACATTCCAACCAACAGTGCATGTTTTCTCTGCAGCCTGGCCTGTTATTTTTAGACTTTTTTTTGTGTGTGTGTGAGACAGAGTCTCACTCTGTCGCCCAGGCTGGAGTGCAATGGTATGATCTCGGTCTGCATCCTCCACCTCCCAGGTTCAAGCTATTCTCGTGCCTCAGTCTCCTGAGTAGCTGGGATTACAGGTGCCCCCACCATGCCTGGCTAATTTTTATATTTTTAGTAGAGATGGGGTTTCACTATGTTAGCCAGGCTGATCTTGAACTCCTGACCTCAGGTTATCTGCCCACCTCGGCCTCCCAAAGTGTTGGGATTACAGGCATGAGCCACATGCCAGGCCTAGAATTTTTAATAATAGCCATTCTGACTGGTATAAGATGGCATCTCATTGTGGTTTTAATTTGCATTCTCTGAAGATTAGTGATATTGAACATTTTTTATATGTTTATTGGCCATTTATATGTCTTCTTCTGCTAGATATCTGTTCATATCCTGCCCACTTTTTAATGGGGTTATTTGTTTTTTTCTTTTCGAGTTGTTTGAGTTCCTCTTTGTCACATGCACAGTGTGCACATTTTTTTTTTCATTTTGTAGGTTGTCTGTTTGTTCATTGTTTCATTTGCTGTGTAGAAGCTTTTTAGTTTAATTAAGTTCCGTTTGTCTATCTTTGCTTTTGTGGCATTTGCTACTACATAGTTTTTAATGGTTTCTTTGGATGCCTACATTACTCCTGTTTCCTTGGACTTTTTCTTTTCCTGTTTGTTTTGGGATCTGTCATTCTGGTGATTCTTGGCTGGCTGTTCATATTTTTAAGTGGAGCTGCTAAACAGCTGTCATGTGGCCAGGCTGAACTTGTTGAATGATAGACTTAGAGTGGGCAGTTGGATGCAGCCCTTGCCATTTTGTCAGCGGTCTCCAAAACATTGGAATCTCTAAGTCCTACAATGACCTGCCTGGGAGGCCTAAGCTTCATTAGTGTTCTGGGAGTCCAAGAGGCAAAGGGCTGAGGGACTAACTGCCTTTACTTAACTCCTTTTTGTTTCCCCAGTGAGATTACTCCTTTTTGCCCTCAGCTATCCAGGGATCTTCTGTCCCAGGCTCTAGTCTCCTACAGGGCCCCTCCATATTCTAGGTAGAAGGGGTCTTATGGGAGACTAGAGCCTGGATGAGAGATGTGAGGATTTAGCCTCAGAACTCCTTATGAAGATTTTCCACCAACTGCCCTGTGTTCAGCCCACTCTGCATCATGGTCTTCAGATGTCCCTATTGCTTCTGATGTCCTGTTTCTATCTTTGAGAAATATTTTGTATATATAGAGGCTGTCTAATCCTCGAAGGTTCAAAAAAAAATTTTTTTAAACTATCGGTTCCTGGTGTTTATTTTTCTTTTCATTATAGAAAATTTTTCAAACACAACAAAAGTAAAATAAATTATGATGTCTCTATTAACTTAAAAGTCACATAATCTATGCATTCGGAGAGAAAACTTTATTTCTTGTAAGGGTTATAGCCTGCAAGATGGCCATGTTCCAGGCTGGGAACCATACCCTTTGGATTAGATCAAAGACAGGCATTTCAAAGGAGGAGGGATAAAGCAGGAATCTAAGTTGAGGTTGGCCAAACATACATATTCAATAGGTTACGGGAGGATCTATGAATATTCATGAATGTGGTCCTGATGTATGTGTATTGAACATATATGCGTATTTCACACACCCATGTTTACCTTGGGGTGGAGCCATACCATTTAAATGTATTGCAGTTAGACATTGTATGTTAGAAGGTATTTGTAAGACACAAATGCAGCCAGTGCTTGTTTAGCTGCTAGAGGAAAAGAAAAACCTGTGGCAGTTAGAACACAGTTTATTCTTCAAGTGTAGGGGTGCAGGAGTTAACGCTTGCCTGGCCTGGCCTGAGGTCTTGTTTATAGTTTGGTACTTCATTGCCATCAAGAGTCTGTTCTGTCAGTCTTATTCTCTATTTTAACATAAATTCTGGTCAGTTGTGTCTACACTGCAAAAGGGAGAGGATATAACAAGGTGTGTCTGAACTCCTACCCTGTCTTGGCCAGGATTTCATTTTTTAATGTATTACTGGGGCCCCCTTGGCCAATAGGGAGTCCTTTCAGTTGGTGAGGAGGCTTAGGATTTTATTTTTAGTTTACAACTCTTTTGTACCATAACCAAGCTTCAATAATTATTGATACATGACTGATTGTGGTGCCTTCCCACAATCATTTTAATCGTATTGATTAATTTAGGTTTTCTAATTCTTTTAAAGTGAATTTTGATACTTCTATTCTTTTTGTAGTAAAGTATCCATTTATTAGCCTTGTGGCTAAGAGCTCTAGTTCCAGAAACAGATTGTCTGGATTTGTTTTTCCATGTAGGTAGTCATTTAAGCTCTCTGTGTCTGAGTTTCCTCATTTGTAAAACGGGAATAATAATGTTATTTATCTAATAGAGTTGTTGAGAAGATTCAGTTAAATCATACATGTAAAGCACTTAAAATAGTGTCTGGCACATAGTAATGTCAAGTGTTGTTATTTAAGTTTTAAAATTAATTGACATGAATTTTTTAGTGGAATTATATTACAATTTTTAAATTCTCCATTACATTTGTCCCTTTTTTATTCCTAATGTTGTTTACTTATAAATATTCTCTTTTCTTCTGATTAGTCTTACGTAGATTGCCGTTTTTTTTCTTTTTTATTGACACCCAGGCTGTAGTGCAGTGGCACAGTCATAGCTCACTGCAGCCTCAAACTTCTGGGCTTATACAATCCTCCTGCGTCAGCCTCCCAAATAGCTAGGACTGTAGCACACCATCACACCTGGCATGCCTATATATGTATATATTTTTTCTACTACATATATATAGTAGAGATGAAGTCTTACTATGTTGCCCAGGCTGGTCGTGAACTCCTGGCCTCAAGCAATCCTCCTGCCTTGGCCTACCAAACCAGTGGAATTACAGGTGTGAGCCACCACATCTGGCTCAACTGCCTATCTTAATAATCTTTTAAAATAATTATCTTTTGACTTGTTAACCATCTTATGATTTCAAATTTTCTTTCCTTCCTTCCTTCCTTCCTTCCTTCCTTCTTTCTTTCTTTCTTTCTTTCTGGGAGACAAAGTGTTGCTCTGTCACCCAGACTGGAGTGCAATGGCAATATCTTGGCTCACTGCAACCTCTGCTTCCCAGGTTCAAGCAATTTTCATGCCTCAGCCTCCCAAGTAGCTGGGACTACAGGCATATGCCACCACACCTGGCTAATTTTTTGTCTTTTAGTAGAGACAAGGTTTCACCATGTTGCCGAGGCTGGTCTCAACTTCTGAGCTCAGGCAATCCACCCATCTTGGCCTCCCAAAGTGCTGGTATTACAGAAGTGAGCCACTGCACCTGGCCCACTTGATGATTTTCTATTTCATTGTTTTCTGCTTTTATCTTATATATTTACATTCTTCTGGTTTCTTTTTCTGTCTTGTTCTTTTTCTAGCTTCTTTAGTTGAATGGTTGTCTTTTTTTTGTTTCTTCCCTTTTTCCTTCATTCCTTTCTTCTTTCCTTGTTCCTTCTAAGTATGCTGCATCCCACAAGTTTCAATATGTTGTAGTTGTAAATGTTGAGTTCTAAATATTTAATAATTTCCATTTTGGTTTCCTATTAAACTCATGATTAGAAATTATTATATATAAGCATATTTATATAAAATAATTTTGAATGATGGGTTTAACAGGAAATCACAATAGAAATTTAGCTTATATATGTATATACACTATAGAAACATAATGAATTTACTTTTCTGAGGCTTTTCTGTGACCTAGTATATGTTCTCTCTTTATAAATGTGTAATTTGTACTTGAAAAGGAACTGCGTTCTCTATTTGTTGGAAATTATTCTTCAATTTGTTTATATGTCCTCCTTTTTTTTTTTTGAGACAGAGCCCTGCTCTGTTCCCCAGGCTGGAGTGCAGTGGTGCAATCTCGGCTCATTGTAACCTCCACCTCCTGAGTTCAAGAAATTCTCCTGCCTCAGCCTCCCTAGCAGCTGCAATTATAGGCACATGCCACCACACCCGGCTAAGTTTTGTATTTTTAGAAGAGATAGAGTTTCACCATCTTGGCCAGGCTGGTCTCGAACTCCTGACCTCGGGTGATCCGCCTGCCTCGGCCTCCCAAAGTGCTGGGATTATAGGCATGAGCCACCACACCTGGCTATATGTCCTTTTTTCTTAGTTTTTTTATCTGAAAGTCTCCCATTATGATTGTGGATTTGACCATTTCTCCTTGAAATCCTACCCTTTTTAACGTATACATTTTGAGGCTGTGTTCCTTTTGCTTTATAGTCATGAAGGTGAAGGAGGAGAAGGCTGGGGTAGGAAAGCTGGATCCCACTAACCACAGGAGGAGATTTCCGGATCAGAAAGGTGAGGTCACTTTGAGGACTTGATGCAAATCTCAGAAGGGACTGAGAATTCTCTGGGTGTCCAGCTCTTTCAGCTGGAGAGTCTAGGGAGCAGATTCCTTTTCCTGACTCATACACAGTGTCTCCTTAAAGCTGGTAGGACCAGCCTTCATGGTATCCCCAGGTGACTGCATAGTCAGGCTGGAGACAGGAAACTGCCATTTTGCCTATGTGGATTAGAGCATAGCTTCCTCAATACAAAATTTAACTCACCTGATTTTGCAAGATCTACAAACCATAATAAATGCCAAATATCAACATTTTATATTAATTGATTCCCAAAGTGGCAGCTTGATTAAAACCAGTGCAAGATGATGTTGGGATGGCAGGTATTTCTGTTGCTCCAGAATTACAGACTTTAGAGGCCCAAAGCCTCATACACACTACAGAGAAGAAGCCGTGGGGCTTATAAAAAGGCAATCAGATGGGTGGCTACTGCCATCATTACTCCTGCCCCACTTGAAGAAAAATACCAACCTCGATGCCCACCTAGAGGCTTGGTGAGCTGTGGAATGTGTAGAGCCACTCTGGGGCTGTCAAGCAAGAAGAATGCCCTAAAGAGTTGCTAGGAGAGCTTGGCACATGTCCTGAGCCAAACTGCAAGATGCTTACAGTAAGAGGAGAGTTCCTGCAGAGCCATGAAGGAGAATGTAGACTTGGGGACAAGCCACTCCCCACAGTTCACCAGCTAAATCACCATGCTCTTTTGCTTATGATAGAAGCCAAGAAAAGATGGGACAATTTAGATTCAGGGCAGAAAGCAAAATATTTCTTGACAGCCATCTCCTCTGATTTCTTTAATAAGTATAATCTTCGTGTGTATAGCCCCTTACAATTTGCATAGTCATATTCTTGTACATGATCCCATTCTATCTTTTTAAAAGCCAGTTTGGTAGAGAAAATATTTTCATTCCCACATTACAGATGAGTTCACTGAGTCCCAGAGTGGCAGGATGGCCATCGATCCAGTAAAGGACAAGCCAGGGAGCACCTAGGGCAGCTGCCTCTTGGGCAGGGGCCTTTCTGTTATACCTGCTTCTTTTCATTTCCATTCCTGGTCTCAAGGGTGGAGAATGGGAACTTGGTGGAAGATCAAATGTGCTAAACCCTTAGAGTGGAACTACTTACCTCTGAATGCTGGTGTCTACTGCTTATCTCAAATTCCAGCTTGCTTAAACAATGCAGTGTATGGAAGGGAAGTTCCACCATGATGTGGGGAGGTGAGAGGAGGAAGAAGGGAAATTAGTTATTCTGGCACCCATCCCCTAGGAAGTGAGGCCACACTTCTTAAGAATCTCAGTGTCACTTTCTTCATCCCTGTTGCATCCAAGAGAGAATGGAATCCAGAAGAGCATGCAGTGGAGTGAGCTGGGACTTTAGACATATTTGAACACTGACAACCAAGTTTCCTGACCCCTAGTACCTAGGAATGTACCAACCAGAGTAGACTCATACAGAGTCTATTCACTAGAGTACATTCAACATCTCTCTAAAAGGCTTAGACATGTTTCTCCACAGTTCATTTGAGAAACAGTATAGTGTTATTTGAAAGTAGACTTAGATTACTTCTAACTGTATATTGCAAAGTCTAGAGCAACCACTAGAATTTTTTAAGAGGTATGATTGATATGCTCAGAGATGAGAGAAAACAGAATTATATAAACTGCTCAATTAAAACCAGAGGAGGAGCTGGGCATAGTGGCATGTACCTATAGTCCCACCTACTCAGGAGACAGAGGCAAGAGGATTGCTTGAGGCCAGGAGTTTGAGGCCAGCCTGGGCAACATAGCAAGACCCTGTTTCTTAAAAAAAAAAAAGACCAAAAACAGAAGATTTTAAAAAAGAACAAATGCAACAAATACGAAATAGTTGTAAACATGATAGATATTAATTCAATGATATAAATAATCACTTTATTAATTAATTAATTTAGGGATGAAGTCTTGCTCACAGACTGGAGTTCAGTGGTGTGATCTCAGCTCACTGCAACCTCTACCTCCTGGTTCAAGCAATTCTCATGCCTCAGCCTCCCAAGTAGCTGGGACTTCAGGCGCATGCCACCATAACCAGCTAATTTTTTGTATTTTTAGTAGAGACGGGGTTTCACCATGTTGGCCAGACTGGTCTTGAACTCCTGACCTCAAGTGATCCACCCACCTCAGTCTCCCAAAGTGCTGGGATTACAGGTGTGAGCCACTGCACCTGGTCAATAATTACTTTAAATAGAAATTGTCTAAACACATCAATTAAAAGACAGAGGATGTTGGAGAGGATCAAAAAATAAGACCCAATTATGTGACAAGAAAGCTACATTAAGTATAAAGACACAGGCCAGGCATGGTGGCTCACACCTGTAATCCCAGTACTTCCGGAGGTTAGGGTGGGCAGACTGCTTGAGGTCAGGAGTTTGAAACCAGTGTGGCCAACCTAGTGAAACCCCAACTCTACTAAAAATATAAAAATTAGCCAGGCATGGTGGCACACACCTGTAATTCCAGCTACTCGGAAGGCTGAGGCAGGAAATTACTTGAACCCAGCAGGTCGAGGCTGCAGTGAGGCAAGATGGTGCCACTGTACTCCAGCCTGGGTGTCAGAGCAAGACTCCATCTCAAAGAAAAAAAATATATATGTATATATATATTTGTGTGTATACATATATGTATATATATGTATACACACATGCGCACACACATAACACACACGCATATATATATATATATATATATAGACACAGATGGATTAGAAGTAAAGGGAGGGAGAAAGATATACCATGATAACACTAATCAAAAGAAAGCAAGAATAGGTATGTTAATTTCAGACAAAGAAGAATAGGTATGTTAATTTCAGACAAAGAAGAATTCAGAGCAAAGAACATCTCTAACAGGGATAAGGGAGAGCATTGCATCATGACAAAAGGGTCAGTTCTTCAGGAAAATGTAACAGTCCTTAACATGTATGCACCTAACAGCAAGCATCAAAATACATGAGGAAAAAAAAAAGACAAAACTGCAAGAATAGACAAATCAGCAATTATGGTTGTAGCGTTCAACACCCATCTACCTGTAATTGGCAGATCCAACAGGTAGAAAATCAGTAAAGATAAAATTGAGATGAACAGCATATTAATCACCTGGATTTAATTGACATTAATAGAATACGTCATCCCACAACAGCAGAACACCCATTCTTCTCAAGCTCGTGTGGAGTATCCACCAAGACAGACCACATTCTGGGACATAAAACACATCTGAACAAATTTAAAGGAACAGAAGTCTTACAGAGTAGGCTGTAACACCACACTGGAGTTAAACTAAAAATCAATAGCAGCAAGACTACTGGAAAATCTCAACATATTTAGAGATTAAACAATACACTTTTAAATAATATATGAGTTAAGAAGTCTTAAGAGAATTTAAAAAATATTTTACACTAAATGAAAATGAAAATTCAACTTATCAAAATTTGTGGGATCTGGCCGGGCATGGTGGCTCACGCCTGTAATCCCAGCACTTTGGGAGGCCAAGGCAGGTGGAGCACGAGATCAAGAGAATTGAGACCATCCTGGTCAACATGGTGAAACCCCATCTCTACTAAAAATACAAAAAATTAGCTGGGCATGGTGGCACGTGCCTGTAATCCCAGCTACTCAGGAGGCTGAGGCAGGAGAATTGCCTGAACCCAGGAGGTGGAGGTCATGGTGAGCCAAGATCGCACCATTGCACTCCAGCCTGGGTAACAAGAACGAAACTCCGTCTCAAAAAAAAAAAAAAAAAAAAAAAACTGTGGGATGCAGCAAAAGCAGCGCTTAGAGGAAAATGAATAACATTAAATGCATATATTAGAAAAGAAAAAAGATCTAAAAGCAGCAACCTAAGCTCCCATTTTAGGAAACAAGAGAAGGAATTGCAAAATAGTCCTAAAGCAAGAATCAAAAAGGGATAATACCAAATAGAGCAGAAATCAATGAAATTAGAAACAGGAAACAATGGAGAAAATCAATGAAACTGAAGCTATCTCTTAAAAAGATTAATAAAATTGATTAATCTCTAGCCAGTCTAACCAAGAAAAGAAGGGAGAAGACATACATTACTTATATCAGAAATGAAAGGTGATCACTATTGATTCCATGGACATTAAAAGGATAATAAAAATCTCTATACCTACAAATTTGATAATGTAGGTGAAATGGACTAATTTCTTAAAAGACACAAACTACCAGAACTCACACAGGAGAAATAAATAATTTGAACGTGCCTATTACTATTAAAGAAGAAATAGATAATAATTAATGACTTTCCAAAAAAGTAAATAAATAAAGAGCAACAGGCCTTGACGGTTTCACTAGTGAATTCTACCAAACATTTGAGGAAGAAATGATATCAATTTTCTACAATCTCTTCCAGAAAATAGAAGCAGAAGGAATATTTTCTAATTCTTTGAGGTCAGCATTATCCCAATACAAAACCAGATAAAAACATGACAAGAAAGAAAAACTACAGACCAATATCTCTCATGAATATATATGTAATAATCATCAGCAAAATGCTAGCAGATAAAATTCAACAATGTATAAAAAGAATTATACACCATGACCCAAAAGGATTTATCCCAGGTATTTAAGGCTGGTTCAGTATTCAAAAGTCAATTAAGGTAATTCATTGGATCAACAGGCCAAAGAAGAAAAATCACACAATAATATCAATAGATGCAGATAAATTATTTGACAAAATCCAACACCTATTCATAATAAAAACTTGGAGTAAACTAGGAATAGAGGAGAATTTCCTCAACTTGATTTTTTAAAAATCTACCAAAAAAACTATAGCTAACATCATACTTAATGGTGAGAAATTTAAAATCTTCCTACTGAGATCAGGAACAAAGCAAAGAGATCCCCTTTTACCAGCCCTTTTCAATATCATACTGGAAATTTGAGCTAATACAGTATGACAAGAAAATGAAATAAATGTATATAGTTTGGGAAGGAAGAAATAAAACTATCTTTCTTCACAGATGATATAACTGTATATGCAGAAAATCCCAAAGAATTTACCAAACAACTCCCATAACTAATAAGTAACTATAACAAGGTTTGGGATATAAAGTCTCAGAATACAAAAACGGTTACTTTTCTATACACCAGCCATTGGAATTTGAAATTTAAGACACGATACATTAGCACCAAAAATTTTAGGCATAAATCTAACAAAATGTATACAAGATCTATATGAAAAAAACTATAAAGATAATGAAAGAAATAAAAGATCTAAGTAAATGAAAAGATATTTCATGTTCATACGTAGGAAAATTCAACCTTGTTAAGTTGTTAGTTCTCCCCAGCTTGATCTATAGATGCAATATAATCCCAATAAAAATCTCAGCAAGTTATTTTTTTGGGGGATGCTGACATATTGATTCTAAAGTTTATATGTAAAGCCAAAAGACCCAGAATAGCCAGCATAACACTGAAGAAGTACCAAGTTGAAGAACTGACACTGCCCAACTTCAAGACTTACTATAAAGCTGCTAATATCAAGTGTGATATTGGCAAAAGAACAGACAAATTGATCAGTGGAACAGAATAACTAGTCCAGAAATGGCCCCACACAAATATAATCAACTGATCTTTGACAAAGACACAAAGGCAGTTTAATGGAGAAAGGATAATATTTTCAGCAAATGGTGATGGAATGACTGGACATTCATATGTTTAAAAAAAAGAGAATCCAGGCCAGGTGCAATGGCTCATGCCTGTAATCCCAGCACTTTGGGAGGCCAAAGTAGGAGTATTCTTTGAGCCCAGGAATTCAAGACCAGCCTGGGCAACATAGAGATTTTGAGACTACTAAAGATTAAAAAAAAAATAGCTGGGTGTGCATGCCTGTGATCTCAGCTACTCTGGAGGCTGAGGTGGGAGGATTGCTTGATCCCAGGAGGTCAAAGCTGAAGTGAGCCATGATCATGCCACTGCACTCCAGCCTGGGTGACAAAGTAAGAAAAATCAGACATAGTCCTTACACCTTTCACAAAAATCAACTCAAAGTGGATCTTAAACCTAAATGTATAATGCAAAGCTATAAAACTTCTAAAAGATAACATAGAAGAAAATGTAGGTAACCTTAGGTCTGGTGATGAGATACAACCCTAAAAGCAGAACTGATGAAAGAAAAAGATGGTAAGCTGGACTCTATTAAAATTAAGAACTTCTGCTCTGTGAAAGATATTTAAGAGAATGAAAAGAAAACCCACAGACTAGGAGAAAATATTTGCAAAAGGTATTATCTGATAAAAGACTCACATCTCAAAATACAAAAAGGACTCTTAAAACTCAACAATAAGGAAACAAACAACCCAATTTAAAAATGGACAAAAGGGCCAGACAAGGAGGCTCACACCTGTAATCCCAGCACTTTGGGAGGCAAAGGCAGGTGAATCATGATGTCAGGAGATTGAGACCATCCTGGCCAACATGGTGAAACCCCGTCTCTACTAAAAATATGAAAAAAAATTAGCTGGCACATGACTGTAGTCCCAGCTACTCAGGAGGCTGAGGCAGCAGAATTGCTTGAACCCAGAAGGTGAAGGTTGCAGTGAGCAAAGATCCCACCACTGCACTCCAGCCTAGAGATAGAGTGAGACTCTGTCTCAAAAAAAAAAAAAAAAAAACCCCAAAAAACAAGAAAACAAAAGATCTGAGTAAACAACTCATCAAAGAAGATATATAGATGGCAAGTAAGCATATAAAAAGATTCTAAATGTCATATGTCATTCAGGAATTGAAAATTAAAACAATGAGATACACTAACATCATTAGAATGGCTATTTTAAAAAAATGACAATAGCAAATGCTGATGAGGATGCAAACCTCAATAGGAAGTACTCTTCCATTGCTGGTGGGAATGCAAATGATATAACCACTTTGGAAGTCTGTCTGGCAGTTTCTTACAAAGCTAAACATAGTCTTGTTGTGTGAACCAGCAATCATATTCCTAGGTATTTACCCAATTGAATTGAAAATTATGTTCACATAGAAGTCTGCATATGAATGTTTATAGCTGCTCTATTCATTATCACCAAAACTGGAGGCCACCAAGATGTCCTTCAATAGGAGAGTGGATGGATGAACAAACTACAGTACATTCATCAGTGGAATATTGTTCAGAGATAAAAAGAAATGAGCTATCAAGCTGTGAAAACACATGGAGGAACCTTAAAGGTATATTGCTAATTGAAAGAGCCAATATGAAAAGGCTTGATAATATATGATTCCTGTAAGAGTTAAAGAAAGAGAAAAGAAACACAAAAAGTGGCTCAACAGTCAAAGATAGGTTTATTTTGGAGAATAAACCTGAGAGGGGCTTCTGGCCAATTTTGGTCAGGAGTGCTCTCTCTTACAGACTAAGACTATTTATTTTAGGGTGAGAGAACTTATCGCAAGCTTGGAATGTTTCTGTATTGGGGGAGAAGTTTATTGTGGGGTTGGAATGCCTCTGGTCAGAGGGGCAGTTATCCTGGTCTGACATCTCTCTGGCCAAAGGCAAGGTTATCTCAGGGCTGATGTGTCTCTGGTAAGGGAGAGATTTGGAGTGTTTCTGGTTAGAGGTGTTATTTGTGGTTTATAGTCATGCCAACTTTAGCCATTAGGCTGATGCCTTTTGGATTTCAGCAGTTTTTGATCAAGGTGAACTTTATGATGGCAGTGCTTGTCCAACAAGATGGTGATACTCCTGTCAATTCCAACACTATAATATTTTGGAAAAGGCAAAATTGTAGAGATAGTAAGTAGAAAGGGTTTGGAGGGAGGAAGAATGGGATGAAGACGTGAAACACAGGATATTTAGGGTAGTGAGACTATTCTATATGATATATAATTGTAGATGCATGTCCTTCTGCATTGGTCAAAACCCATAGAAGTATCTATACAATAGAAGAGTAAACTTTGATGTAAACTATCTAGTTAATAATAATGTGTCAGTATTGGCTCATCAGTTATAACAAATGCACCACACTAATGCAACACATTAATAATAGGGAAAACTGTAGGGGTGGGGGTGGGGGTAGGGTGGAGGTAGGTACATTGAACTCTGTGTACTGTCTGCTCAATAATTCTGTAAATCTAAAACTGTTCTAAAAATCTATTAATTATTTGAAAAATTGTTGACCTACTCAAGACAACACTGATGTTAAACTGGTAGCAGTGTCCTATCTGAGAGCTGAGGGAATTCTAGCTGCCTCTGTGTGCACAGACCTAGGGGGGTGCTTTGCCCATTACCCTGGGTTTCAATAGTAATCAGGCTTATTAGTGGCATTATGAATTAGGGCTCTTGATAACTTTAGTTCTTGGAAATTTTAGTTTATAAAGCCAGCTTTGAGAAACCCTCAATAACTCACTTTTCTGATAAGTAGACTACTTAGTCCTTGATTGTTAGTAAAAAAAAAAAAAATGGCTCTCAGTAGAAATGCACGTGACTTTTTCATAACAACCAAAGAGAGCACTTGACATTTTGAACTACATCTGTGACCCACTAAGGGACTTTCCCTTAGACCACATGTCATAGCCATATCCAGTAATCACTGTTCCAGACAAGCAAGTACAGGGGAATGGGAGTTCTCATTCTAACAAAACTCTAATTATAGCACTGAGGGTATTCCCTCCAGCAACTGTTGATTTGGTTCATTAATAGAACTCTATCAAACCCAAGCCTTAGGACAATGACCCCATCCTGGCACTCCATGTCTTTCAATTTGCTTCTGCAGCCCAATCTGTTTATAACTGATGGATATTATGGAAAAATGCCAATTTCCAGTAACCCTCCCTCCCCTGTCTTTTGTGCTATGCCCACAGAATACCCTCCTATCCACATTGGGCTTCCAGTACCCAGTTACCCTCAAAGAAAAACTGACCAGAAGGGACATCTTTTAGGCCTGCAAAAAGTCCACTGGGGCCTGCGGCCAGACAAACTACAGCAGGAACTGACTGGCCCCGGAAGTGGGGCAAGCAGCCGGGACAGCAGCGTGGATCTTATCAGCAGGACTCGTGAGTTCCTTGAGGGGCACATTCTGGGGAGCCATCCTGTTGATCTATCCAGATGGGACCCGGCAAGGCAGAGGGGATTCTCTGGAGAATGTGGGTAACATTCCACATGGCTCAGCCTAGCCTTTCAGGCCCTCTTTGATCTGCTTCCATTGTTGACCAACCTTCTTGCTCATTGACACTTTTGGTCAGACTGAAGCCCTCTGTCTTTCTCTGGGGATTTTGAAACCTCCACTCTGATCCGTTCTATATTGATTTCATGGTTTAATTCTCAGAATTATTTCCCTCATTTCCAAATTCCAAGGTCCATACAGCTGTCGCCCTAAAAACCAATAAGGGACATACTTGTTTGGCACAAGGTACTGTGCTCAGTAAGCTGAAGTTCTTGTTACATTACCTCCACCCTCTCTCCTCACCGGAGCTTAAAGGTCTGGTACAGAATTGTCTAGTCACCCTGCACTGTAACTTGCAAGACACCTAAGAAGCCTACCCCCAGTACAATAAAGCCCCTGGACCTTCCTCTGCTCCTTCAGAAAACAGTTCTGGGCTAATTAAAAATCAGTCTTTTGCTCCTTCCTGTGGAAAGAAAATTGTCAATCTTAAGAGGAGTAAAAAGGACTAAAATCCTTAGAGTACAAATGTGACATTTTATTTTCTAGACCTTATTGATGTTTCTGGGGACATGATTTCACTCTTAGCATATCCCAAACCTGCCTAATAAACAGTAATAATTTGGTTTCTACAATATATAGCTCACTGTCTTGAGCATGGAAATGTTGGTTTATTTTACCGTCTAAACCTTCCAAGGAATATCAGAGGCAATGACTGCATCTTAGTATCCTGGCAGGACACCTGATGCACGTACTCTCACAGGCCACAGGAGCTACCCCCAACCCTGCAGAGCCCTCTATAAGCCTCCTCATTGGCATTAGGTCAGCCAGGGCCTGTGGCTTTTCCAGAGTAATTGTGCCTTTGTAGGATATGGAGTAATAGTAAATCCTTTGGAGGAGTCCAGTGTAAGAGGGGCTGTAGTTAAAATACAACACACACATACACACACACTACGTGTACATGCATGCACACACACACAGACCTGCTCAGGAGTGGGAACATCAGAGACCAAGAGGAAAGCAAGCCTGCTGGGAAGGCTTGCTCCCCATGTTGGTTCTGGATGCCTCATATATATTGACATGGTCTCTGAGATGTTCCCTGTTACCCCACCACCTCCCCCACATTCAGGATTGAGGTCCCCTTGGAAAGTGGAGTCTGCTGAACCAGAGAAGAAGAAAGCAGTTTAGATTTGGTGCTCTCTGCTCAGAGCTTAGAAGAGGTAACATGGAACATCACAGAAGCAGTTATAGCTGGTGGATTTGACATTGCTTTGGTGGTTTCTTGTTCAGTTAAGGGGACACTGACTTTAACTGCAAACCAAAGGAAAAAGAATATAGAATCCTGGGCCAGGCGCGGTGGCTCACACCTGTAATCTCAGCACTTTGGGAGGCCGAGGCGGGTGGATCACGAGGTCAAGAGATCGAGACCATCCTGGTCAACATGGTGAAACCCCTTCTCTACTAAAAATACAAAAAATTAGCTGGGCACGGTGGCGCATGCCTGTAATCCCAGCTGCTCAGGAGGCTGAGGCAGGAGAATTGCCTGAACCCAGGAGGCGGAGGTTGCGGTGAGCCAAGATCGCGCCATTACACTCCAGTCTGGGTAACGAGAGTGAAACTCTGTCTCAAAAAAAAATATATATATATAGTATAATCCTTTGGCATATAAATATTTTTCTCATTCTGTTGCCCAGGCTGGAGGGCAGTGGTGTTATCTCAGCTCACTGCAACCTCCGCCTCCTGGGTTCAATTGATTCTTGTGCCTCAGCCTCCCAAATAGCTGGAATTACAGGCACACACTACCTTGCCCAGCTAATTTTTGTATTTTTAGTAGAGACAGGGTTTTACCACGATGGCCAGGCTGGCCTCAAACTCCTGACCTCAAGTGATCTACCTGCCTCAGCCTCCCAAAATGCTGGGATTACAGGTATGAGCCACCACATCTGCCCCTTTGGCATATTTGTACCAAATATATTGGGGCATTTCCTTCACCACCTGCTCTTCCTATACTACGTGTGTGTCTTACTTGCTTGTTTCTGATAGGGCTGTGGAGTAGGAAAGGGAGAACGGGAGAGCCTGAGAACACGGAATTTTAGGCCATGTCTCTTAAGCTGGAGTAAAGACCCCCTTTAAAGGGAAAATAAAGTCTTGTGGACCCACAAAAATGCATTTATATATTTGTAGGGCCCCAGGGAGCCACATATTCCAGTTTGAGAAATAACCTAACTAATTAAGGTTTTATTCCATAAAAATATCTTCCAATTGTGAATTATAACCCAAGTTTTGCTATTCTGTCTAATAAAAGAAATATTTTTAAAATAATCATCAAAATAGAAGTAAAATTTAAAAATTCAAGTAAAGCTTTTCTACTTATGAGAATACATTCCAGACCCCAGTTCTAGACACTCTGGTTTAAGGAAGGCACAAAGTCTGATAACAAAGTCACCAACCACAGTGATTATTCTGCAGCCCATGGACATTGAGCTGTTTTCTGCCATTCTTCATGGAGTGGAAGTCTCAACCCTTCATTTTCTTATAAGCAAAATGGGCATTTATGTATGAAACACATATAAACCTTGCTCTTGCCACATCACAGGGATGGTCCCAATGCCTTGCAGAAGGGAAAATAAAATAGTGCCAGAATCATTTTGCCTGCCTCATCTGGACAATTGTCTGAATCTCCCACTTCTCTTTGCTGTAGGACAGCTGACCCCATATGTTTTTCCTTCCAGACACCTAGGCAGGGGGCCCAGCTGATCTGGTTGCATAGCCCAAGCAAGAACTCCCACTTTAGAGGGCAGGGGCATCCTGCAGAGTATGAGGGGCCTGGGCCAGGCAGGGTGGCTAGATGTATCTGGGCCTGAGGGTCGGGCACATTATGCAGATGGAGGACTGAACAGAGACCCCCCGCTTAGTTCCTGCCTTACAGAATAATGGCAAAGATCAATAAGACAGTATATGTGAAGGGGACTGGTACCTATAAAAGCCCCCTGAGAATGATAGTTCACTATCATTTTGTTAACTAAATGTTTAATATTAATAATCATAAACATAAAGTTGAAACAAAGGTAGCTCACTTTTATTCCCTTTCTCAGAGACCCATGAGGCTGCCTTTAATATATGCTGCAGGGTTCCTAATCTCCAAGACAGTTTTAAAATATACAAGCCAGCTGCCTGACATGTTAGATGGTAATGGGGTTTGGATGTCTGTACTTTTCTATTAAGTTCCACTGTACCTGGTTAAAAGATATACGTCTTAAAGAAATTTGATGCTTTCTTGAACCACATTTAACGTACAGAACCCTGTGAAATCACTGCTCTCACTCCAGTTGAGGCCCAGGTAGCTACTGGTCCTCAGTCCCACAGCAGGTCAGGGGCAGGAAAGAGGCCAGCCCAGGCCTCCTTTCCCTTCTTGTACTGACTCCATGCCTTACATGGAAAGCAGCCCCTTTTTTTAGAGTTGCCCTCTGGATCATGTCAGAGCCCTTGGAGAAAACATCTTGCACCTGGAGTTGACAGACTCACAAACAGAGAAGCATAAATTAGTATGAGATGCATTGATGGAGGTCTGCACAGGAACTATAGGAGGAGAAACAGGAGCACACAGGCCTAGGTGGTGACTGGTGGCAGAGGGGGTAGCACAGGCGTCCTGGAGCAGGTGATACCTGTCCTGAGTCTTAAATGATAAGTAAAAAGTAGAAAAGGCAGCTGGGAGAATTAAAGAAAAGGAAATTTATATTTCTCTTTTCTAGCTTTATTGAGGTATAACTGACAAAATTATATATGTTTAGGTATAAAACATGATTTGATATACATACACATTGTGAGATGATTACCACAATCAAATTGGTTAACATCTCCATCACCACTCATAGTTATCTTTGTGCATGTATATGGTAAGAACACTTAAGAGCTCTCTAAGAAAATTTCAAGCATGCAATACAGTATTATTAACTATAGTTACCATGCTGTACATTAGATCCCTGGAACCTTTTCATCTTTGACCAACATCTCCCTATCTTCCACACCCAACCTCTGATAAACACTGTTCTACCCTCTGTTTCTGTGAGTTCAGCTTTTCTAGATTCTACATATAAGTGAGAGCATGCAGTAGTTCTGGCTTATTTCACTTAGCGTCATGCCCTCCGTGTTATCACAAATGGCAGAATTTCTCCTCCATGTTGTCACAAATGGCAGAATTTCTCCTCCATGTTGTCACAAATGGCAGAATTTCCTTCTTTTTTATGATTGAATAATATTCCATTGTATATATCTAGATATGTCCCATTTTCTTTATTCCTTCATCCATCAGTGGACATGCAGGTTGTTTCTGTTTTGGCTGTTGTTAATAATGCTGCAGTGAACATGGACATGCAGATATCTTTTCAAGATACTGATTTGGCTTCCTTTGAATATACACCCAGAGATGAGATTGTTGGATCATATAGTAGTTCTATTTTTTATGTTTTGAGGAACCTCTGTATTATTTTCTATAATGGCTGTGCCAATTTACATTCTCACCAACAGTACACAAATATTCCCTTTTCTTCACGTTCTCACCAATACTTGTTATCTTTTGGGGTTTTTATAGCCATTCTAACAGGCATGAGGTGATATCTCACTATGGTTTTACTTTTAATTTGCATTTCCCTGATGATTAGTGATGGTGAGCACTTTTTCATGTACCCATTGGCCATTTGTATGTTATATCAGTCTATTCTCACAATGCTAACAAAGACATATCCAAGACTGGGTAATTTATAAAGAAAAAGAGGCTTAATGGACTCACAGTTCCACATGGTTGGGGAAGGCTCACAATCATGGCAGAAGGTGAAGGAGGAGCAAAGACATGTTTTACATGGAGGCAGTCAAGGGAGCATGTGCAAGGGAACT